GTGGAGCAGGCAGAACTGAAGACTGCCCTAGGGGAGGACCCAACAGTAGTCCTTCATCTGCTTTAGGTCACAGGCCCCATGAAAGCACTGGCTCCTTCCCCTAAACAGGGGCACAGTCATCCCGATTTGCATGCAATTCAAAAGGTTCATAGATCTCGAGGTTCCATCAAGGACCTAAGGTTAAGGAACCCTTGGTGTGCCAGCAGCTCCAAAGACTCGATACTAGGAAACTTAAAGGGGCATCAAGTGTCTGCTAATGGGAGAGGGATGGTTCAGAAAGGAGAGTGAGAAGGCTTGTGCACCTTGAAGAGTGTAGCCGAGGTCGCCGAATTACACATGGGGAATTTGTTGAGCTGCCATGTGTTTGGCTGTGTATGAGGAGCCCTGGTAGCACAATGGTTAAGTGCTCGGCTGCTAGCCAAAAGGTCAGTGGTTCAAACCTACCAGCTGCTCTGGGAGAGAAGACCTGGCAATCCTGTTGCAGATTTCAGCCAAGGAGAGCCTGCAGGGCAGTTCCACTCTGTCTCTCAGGGCTGCTGAGAGTCAGAGTCGACTAGATGGTGCACAGTAGCAGCATCTGTGCACATTCTTATCAATCACCACAACAAAAATAGAATAAAAAACAAACAATGAACCCTTGAGATACCTGAAAGAGCAGCTACTCAGTTTCCATATCCCAGTCTGTGGTCTTGGGCAAGTCACCTAGGGCTGCTCTTTCCACGTCCTTGGCTCTAAAATGAAGAGCTGAGGTGGACAAATGATGTGTGAACTGCCTGAGCCTGAGGACGTTTGATAGTGTCTTAGAGCGGTGCTGCATAGCCTTTCTTAGAGGCCACATGTTCCTTTGAGAACCTGAGGCGAGCTGCTGTACGCATCTTCTGCCCGGAAAAACGCTTCTACACAAACTGTGGCCGACTACTGAGGGGGACCCAAGGACTGCAGGCTAGGACTTTTGAACTAGAGTGACACAGTGATCCGGTGTTCCCAAGAGTCCTGCTGCCACCCATGGGCCTCAAGTCACCTCCTCTCCCCTCCATCCTCTCACCTCCCCAGCACCAGCGCTGCACTGAAAAGCCCTTAGTAACTGGGGCAGCAGTCAGCACAGTCTACTCAGTGCCATGGCTTCAGAATCTGCTTTTCCATTATATAACCATTCTCTCCTCCCTCAAGACATCTGATCTGGAGCTCCGTACAGATGAAAAGGGTCTCTGGTTGAAGCACTCATTTACCCTTCCGGCCAGCCACCCATTCAACGACCACGCATTAAGCATCAGCTTGATGCCCAGTCCCTGCCTGGACAGTCCAGCGATCCTGCCTGTTTGGTCTCCCCGGGCCTCCCTCACTGACTACAGAACTGAACAGCTCTGCGGGCCAGCTTGAAATGCTTGGATCTTGTAAGAGATCACTCAGACCTGGTCATCAGGTGAGCAGAGACCCGGTTTTTGCCTTGTCCCTTAAGCACGGACTTACGTGGGGCCTTATTTTCCTCATCTGTAAAATCCAGTGATGACTGCCACCTTGCATTCCACGTACCCGTGATTGTCATTATCTCTAGCTGAAAGGATGATGGGCCCATTTCTGTGGATCTATGTACCGAGCTCTAAAAGGACAGAAGGAGAAGCGCAGAGGAAATGTGCAGGCTTCGGTCCGGAGAGGCTGGTGCAATTGAGACCGTCTACTTGGAAATTTCCAGGAAAATAGTAAGGCTGAGTCTTGGGAAAATAGTTGCTGTTTCTTCGCTCACTCCTCCGCCCCCCCACCCCCCAGAAGGTCCCCTGCTGTCAGCGTGCATTTCATAGACCCATTTTATCCACTATCCTCTGGGGCCTGAATGCAGAGCCTGTGCCTGCTGGTGACAAGGAGTCGCACTCACCCACAGTGGGTCAGGAAAGATGACTCCTGTACCTGAGGGGCTGCTCGCTGGGGAAGGACAGGGTTCTGCAGAGGCCAGAGCCAAGGTCCTCTGTGCTGGCCACAGAGATACGCAGGCCTGAGCAGCATGGGAAATATTCGCCTCACAGGCCTGACGGAAGCACAGGCACCACCTTGGGTAAAACCCCGCTTTCGGAGGCTCTCTCTTGTCTTTTCCTTGACTGGCAGTCTAATGTCAAGGTCAAGGGCATGGGTTTTGGGGTTGGACAAGCTGAGGCCCAGATTCTGCCTCTGCCTCTAACTCCCTGCTTGGGGGATGGCGGAGAGGTGGGAGGGGAGGGCAAGGAGAGACGGCCGTCCCAGAAAAGATACTCAAAGTCTCTGAGCCCTCTTTTCTTGTCTTAATACGGGTCTCTTAAATACGGGTGCTCAGATCTCCTTTTCAGGGTGGTGCGCAACTTTGTATAGGGGCTTGATAAACCAGTACCACTGCGCTCAGCCTCAGTTTCCAGCCGAGCAGCAGATTGTTTGATAAAGAGGGGCGTGGGCTCAAGAGCACACGTGTGCATGGTCTGTGTACCCGACCCGGTGCATCGGCGTCCCCCAGCCTGTCCAGGGACAGCAAGACTCTCCTCCTGACACAGGAAGCGTCTCCCTGGGTTACTCTTCCCACTTCCCTGACTGGGGCGAACAGGAGTCACTGTTTTCTTTTATTAGGAGGTCACTGAGCATTGCCCGGGACCCCTAGGATCCAGCTTCCCACCCCCAGATCCACCAAGGCCCCCTCTTCCTGCTTGGGGTGCTCCCTGCCATGGGCTCCACTGAAGGGAGGCTCTGTAGACCGGGGTGTGTTTTGCCAGCAAACACTGATCTCAGCCCCCAGTTGCCTGCCCTCGCAAGCAGTGAGTCCTAGGGTCCCTGCTGCCTTTTCAGGGGCAGCATGGGTCACCTCCAAGTTTGTAGGCTGCCTCAGGTCAGGGAGTTCAGAGATTTTAGAAGGCAGGTCAGGCCTCAGGATCTGCAGAGTCTGGGGGCTCCCAGGGCGCACGGTTCCGGAACCCCGAGATGTCCTCCCTGTGTTCTTCAGAGGCCCCTGCTGCTGCTGCTGCTGCTGCTGCTGGCCCTACCTTTCTTCCCAGCGGCCGGCCCCTGGGCTTCCGTGCCCGAGGCCCCGCTGGTGGCCAGGTCCAGGCTGAGGGTCCGCCCGCAGACCGAGAGCCGCCGCAGCGCCTCCGAGGCGGCTTCCACCGGCACCACGCTGGAGCGCTGCGCCAGCAGCATCTCCAACAGCGAGCTCATCTCCGAAACGAAGGTGCTGGCCAGCCGCGTGCCCGCGGGGCTCAGCTCGGGCCCCGCCGCCTTCCCGAACGTCTGGAAGGTCCGAGGCGCCTCCGAGGAGGCCGAGGCGTCCGCAGAGCACACGTTGTCGCGGTAGTTGGTGGCGAGGGGCAAGGAGAGCCTCGCCATCCAGGCTGGGTCCGGGGCGCTCAGCCGGTTCAGGTCCAGGCCTGCAAGGGGAGGACGGGGCACAGTGAGGGCTTCCTGGGAAGGTCAGGCTGTGGGCGGGATGGGGGCAGGACGAGGACACAGGACAAAGGAGGGAAGGGAAATGGCGGGGGTTGGGGGTGGGGGGACAGACAGGACAGAGGTGGGGAGGAGGAAAGGAGCCAGGACTGGGGAGCTGGCTGGGCAGGAAGGTGGCGGACTGAAGCACTCTGAGGCAGAGGCAGGAGGAGGAAGGGCACACTGTCATGGGGTCAACTCCGACTTAAAACGACCCTATAGGACAGGCTAGAACAGCCCCTGTGAGTTTGGAGACTAACTCTAGAGTAGAAAGCCTGGTCTTTCCACCCCCCTGGCTGGTGGTTTCAACTACTGACCTTGACCTTGAATTAGAAATTGTCTGGTTGCTGTAGGTGTCCCACTCATTTGTGCACAGCAAAGATCCCCGCCCCCTCCAACACACACACACACACACACACTCTTCCAGGGAGACTGCTCAGGGCACCACTAGCTGAGAATGAGGGGGGAAATCCTCTTTCTCAGCCAAGGCTGAATTCTCTGGCTTGGCGCTGCCTTTTATTCATATCCATATGTATTAGAGTTTAAAGTCTGAGCACTAGGTGGCTTACAGTGAAAGCCCTAAATCCATTTTGAGACTCCACACTGACCCAGCTCCATTGACCCTTAACCAACAGTGTGGACAGCTTTGTCCTCAGACAGTGTGTTTCAAAGCGGACGATTACCTCCCCTAGCCAAGCCCAGCCCTTAGGGCAGGGGTCCTCAAACTACTGGCCAAGAACATTTATCCAGCCCACCGGGTGTTTTTCCCCCTTTTGTTTTTTTTTTTACTTCAAAATAAGATATGTGCGATGTGCATAGGAATTTGTTCATAGTTTTTTTTTAAAACTATAGTCCAACCCTCCTATGGGTCTGAGGGACAGTGAACTGGCCCCCTGTTTAAAAAGTTTGAGGACCCCTGCCTTAGGGCCTTGCTTGGGTGTGCCCTTGCTGGAATGTGGAGTACTGGGGTCATGCAGTCTTGAATCAGACTATGACAGCCTTGGTCAGAGGGCCCCGAACGACTCTTGTAAACTGCTTTTCAGTTGTCAACCGTGTACAATGGTGGTCCCTTTCACACGTCTGCAATCCCGCCTGGAACCGTGATCAGTTCATCTGCTGCCAATCATGCTTCGGTGACAGCTTCTCTTGTTTTCTATATCCTATAAAGTGCTTGAGTTTCTGTGCATCCCTGGACACGCGGTGGCCTTGTGCTGATCGTTTCCCTCATTCAGATGATGGGTCTTTTCTTGGTTGGTTTTTGGGGGTCCTGTTTAGGACTTAATCTCTGTGTATTTATATATTGCTTTTGAATTTGGGACCATGGCAGTGAGTTTGGTTTTGGGAGTCGGCGACTGGACCACCCGCTCACTCTGAGCAGCTGCTCTGAACGCCCCTTGGATGGTCCAAGTTCCCACCTGTGGCCTCCGGGATTCCCAGGCAGGCTCTGTCCCCGCCTGGCCTCATGCCCTCCACTCTTCAACATCTTCTCAAGCTCCAGGCTGGAAAGGGACTCATTCTGTGAGGGTTGTCCCAGGACAGGGATCAAGGCAGTGGCAGCCAGGACAATTGAGAAGCCGGCCTCTAGATCCCCAGTGCCACCTCCACACCTCTCCGTCCCCGTCTCCCCACCTAAAACCCCATCTCAGAAAACCAATCCTACATCTGACTGTACAGGCCAAGCCAGAGGGAAGAAAGGAAGGTAGGAAGGAGCCTTGTGATTAAGAAATGGTTAAACGAGAATAGGCAAAGGCACGGAGACCGAG